TGTTAGGCAGGAAATGATGATATTATTCTTTCAAATGTTCAGATGCAAGAGATTTATGGGGCATCTGGCTACTTCTTGGAGGGGAAGGGAGCAGGCAAAAAAAGATCGTAAGTTAAAGAATTGCTAGTTGATATCTTTTGCCCTCTTTCACCCCTGCTCATTCTCTGTTTTTTTAGCCTGAAACCAAAAAAGCTACCTCTCTCTTCAATTGACAATGGTTTTTCATTCCATTGAATGAACCACGCAGAGACATTGTGAAACTGACAGAGGTGACAGTTAGTGATAAGCTGGAGGGATTTCGTGCATCAAAAGAGGTAATATTTTTTAGTATGTTTTTTTTGTGGTAGGAGGAAAATTATTCAAAATTCCATTTTGGCTACTACAACAATAATAATAAATTATGTTCTTCTGTGTCCATCAACTCTCAATAACTTTGTTTTGTAAACTTGAGCATCTTAACATTTGAAGTTAAGAATCTCCTAGGAGTCACAACTTATAAGCATTTAGAGTGAAATTACCATCTTAGTTCCAGTTATTGCTAACATTTTCTGCATCCATTTGTACTTTTTTATGTTACAAAATTGTTTCTATGTTGTTGATTCCAGTTGTTGCTAAAATATTATGCGTTCAATTGTCTTTGTTCATGCCACAGAAATTATTTCTATGTTACTAATTGCAGCACTTTAGAGGCCTAAGTTTCCCTAATATTTCTTCTGTTGGTCCAAATGCAGCAATAATCCATTACGTACCTGAGGCCGAAACATGTGCTGAGCTTGATCCAGATAGTATTTATCTATTTGATTCAGGAGCGCAGGTATGCTATCAAATCCTAATAGTTTGCTTCTATCATCAACCAAAAGCATGAATAAATGCCAACTATTTCTTATTCTAGATTCTTAGTTCTGGTTATTAATTACGCAACTGATGTTATTGATTGCATTATTGAAGTATCTAGATGGAACAACTGATATAACTCGGACAGCTCATTTTGGAAAGCCTTCAGCACATGGTACTGGTCATGGAGTTGGATCTTACCTCTATCTTCATGAAGGTTAGCTATTAGCTACACTCACTTGCTGAAGTTAGGTTTACTATTAATTCACTGAAACTTTTCATTTTACTTTTTTTTTCCTTATTGAATTACTTGGAGCAGGACGACAACTAATTACTTTGAGACAACAGGCTCGTAATGTGCCACTTCAAGTTTCCATGACAGTAACAGATGGTTAGATCGTTTTCCCTGCTTTATTTTTGTTCCACCTTATACTGATTTCCTTTCACGTCTTTCTTATCTTTATGCTTGGTTTACTTACAGCTTTTCATTCTTTCCTGTCACTAAGCATTTAATTCTGCCTAATCTGTCATCTTTTGCTGGAGTCTTTTTGCACGATCAACCTCATTCAATCTTTTGTGGTTTTGGTTATTGTATGCATATGTTACCATAATTATGAAGTTCTAGTAAAAAATTCCATTTTCTCAATGTTAAAAAACTACGTGGTGACGTATATTGTTGGTCTAAAAGGTACTGAGATGAAGCATTTGCTAATTCCATCTGTAAATTCCATTTCCCAGAGCCTGGATATTATGAAGACGGGAGCTTTGGTATAAGATTAGAGAACGTACTCGTAATCAAAGAGGCTGATACCGAATTCAATTTTGGTGATAAGGGATACTTGTCATTTGAGCATATCACATGGGTAAGTTTGTCACTAGGAATAAATTGTTCGTCTCCTATCAACCATGGTCCATATGTGTTTGTTTGCGCATTGCGCGTATCCTTTTCCGAGACAGCTACATTTTAGATTCTAATGGCTTACGTTATGTTCAGGCACCATATCAGATAAAGTTGATCGACTTTAGCCTCTTGACACCGAGGAGATTGAATGGTTGAATGCGTACCATTCAAAATGCAGGGAAATTCTTGCGCCATACATGGACAAAAAAGAGCTGGATTGGCTGAAGAAAGCCACTGAACCTGTAAGTGCATGATACTTGTTATCTGAATGATCTGCATTTGGTAATTTATTATATCCGATATTTAAGGAAAATAATTAGTGATTTTCTGCATTTGATGAGAAGCCAAGTTATTGTATATAAATCGAAGTTGTCTTAGCCCTACATGAAAATGCATTTCTCGTGGAAGGGGCCTTCAGCGCTTATTTATTATGAAGATAGACTTTGCCCTACACTTGGGCATGGGGTGGTGGAAGCCATTTTGGAAACGAATGACGGCTTTTTGACTTTGTTAAATAGATGAAAGCTCATAATGTAGGAAGGCGATTAAATGTTCAATTTAGATTTTTTTTTTTGGAATTATATCTTTCAACGTTTCGTTTATTGGATCTAATCGTAGATGGTACGATGGAGGGCATGTGGGTGCAGTCGTCCTCCCTAAAAATTTAAAATTATCGTATATTTTAAAATTTTCTATTTAAAATATGTTTTCGCCCTTGAAATTTTATAAGATCATTTTTTAAAATTTTAAAAGTTCATCCAAAATGTAAAATTCTGTATTTGTACCTAAATTTAACTCGGTTTTTTTTCTTTGCCAGATTTTATGCGAGTCAATTCACATATTAATGTGCACTTTATTGCAAGCCTAACCTATAAGAGGGGGTTTATTCGATTTAGAGTCAAATTATATAAATAAATAAATAGCTAAAAATAAGTTATTAATTTAATGTGAGCTACATGTTTAAGATGATATATTTTTAGAGGCATCCTTGAATTCAGAGAGGAGAGCATCATTTAGTGTAAAATTAAAATTTAGTTTTATGTACGTGCATAATATTTTTTAATTACTCACTGATATTTGATCTATTGACAGATTAATTATTTTTTTATATAATTTATGTTTTTAATAAATTAATTAAAGTTGAATTTGATATTAAATTATATTCGTCATGTATGTATAATAATAACCGCTCCCTTTATATCCTTGACGCATTCAAATTTTAACCCTCGTTTCCCACTTACTTTTCATCATTCGTTTGATGACCAAAACTTAAATTAAATTATAATAAAAATAATTCAAAATAAAAATTTATTAACATTGAACAATACTTGGTGGTTTAGGTGTCAAGACTCATTCGTTTATGGATTAATGGACATTTAAGGTTCTAAATTTCTTTTCATTTTTGTCATTCCTTTTAAATCATTACAATATTCATTAAGTTAAATTTAGTCTTTTACCATAATAATTATTATGGTAAAGTATACAAATAGTCCATTGATTATAGGGTTTTGTTTTGTTGAGTCTCCCGGTTATTAAAAGTTACTAAATGATCACCCAACTATTGATATGTTCCAAACTCGTCATTTTCTATTAAATAATTGACGATCGTCTGAATTGGAAGTAAACATGATGATTGAGATATGATAAAATCATATTTTAATGAAGCTTACTAGCATCACCGTTATTTTCAAGCACTGACTTGACGACATAATATTTCAAGCACTAGCTCAAATGACATAATGTAAATTGATAGTCAATCTACAAAATATAACTTAAACGATTATGATATCATATTTTATCATATCTCAATCAACCGGTTAACGTCCAGCTCAGACGACCGAACGAAAATGATGAACTTAGAACATATGAATAGTTAGGTGATCATTTTGTAACTTTTAATAGTCGGGGACTCAACAAAGCAACATCGTCGGGACCATTTTTTAACTTTTAATAGTCGAGAGACTCAACAAAACAATACTCTATAGCTGGGGGACCATATGTGTATTTCACCCTAATTATTAATTATAAATCAATATTTATATTTTAATGAAAAATCTTGAATTATTAAATAAACTAATAAATTAATGATTTGAACAATTATATGACCAAACCATTAAAACTATATTAAACATTTAGATTGTGATGTTATGGCAAGAGAGCAAGAAAAACAGAACCCAATTTCGATTGGATATGCATGAAACGTGATTCCGGTAGTTAACATGTAAACGCGGGAAATTTTTGTTTTATGACAATCTTAATATATAGTTAAGAAAAAATGTTATTGAAAATATTATTATTTTTTTAATATTTTTGATAAAATATTACTTAAAAAATTATTATTATTTACTTAAAATATTAAAGTTTTTTTAATATTTCTGGTAAAGTATTTAATATTAATATTTTTAGTAAAAAAATAATATTTTAGGTAATACTTTATCGGATATATTAACAAACATGGTAAAATTATAAATAATAATATTTTTGATAGAAATAATAATATTTTAAATAAATTTTTTACTAAAATTTTTAAAAAATAATAATTTTTTTGTAACGCATTTTATTAGGGTATATTAAGCGTGAGACTTTCCCTGTAAACGCATAACGAAAATAAAGAAGAAAAACACGGCCCCGGGTGGGCTCACGCTTCATACACGTGATCCACATGTTTTAGTTTTTAATCATTTTAATATGTTCCCACATATGATACAGTACTATATAGATTGTATATTTTCAAGAAAAAAGGGTAAACTATACATTTAGTACTCCAACTATCATTTTGTCTTGTTTTGATCACTCATTGTTTTCTAAAACCACACATAACTTTATGTTTTGGTTTTATTTTGATCATCTATCGTTACAAAAATTAACAGAACTACTGATATAGATTTTTTCAATGATGACAAAACATCATCTTATGTTAATACATCAACATCACCGTTAATTCTTTAACGGTAGATGATCAAAATGAAACCAAAATTAAATGTTTGGTATGATTTTGTAAAATAACAATTGGGTGATCAAAATAAAATAGAAGTAATAGTTGAAGTACTAAATATATAGTTTATCCGAAAAAACTACCATTTCTACACAAAGCAAAACACCCAAATCCAAAAATCCCGTCTTCCTCCTGTTGGCTGCTAATTGGCTGATATTAAAAATGCAAATCCACTTCCATTTCCATTGAATGTTTTTAGCTTTCTCCTGTCATTTTCCTTCACCCAATTCATTCAATGATAGTCAACTGTTAATTGAAGTTTTTTGTATTTGGATTGTGGAAATTGCATTAAATTTCTCATTTTTTTAGCTGAATCCTTGAACTTCTTTCCATGTTCAATAACCCCTTCTTTTAATAGGAAAAACCCAATCTTTCAAGTACCAAGAGAGGAAAAACAATGGCTTCACTGAATCTGGGTTCTTTGGTTCAATCTTACTCCAGTTTCAACCAAGTTTCCATGTCCAAGTATTCTCCTTTATCCATATCCTTTCCCTTCAATTTCTCGAAGAATTTTTCTTCAACCCCCAAAACCCCCTGCTTTGCTTCTCTTCCTATGATTTCATCGGTCCTTACCAAAGAAGACACTGTCAAGGAAGAAGAACCATGCCCTCAAATACCAAGTTTTGATTTCAAATCATACATGGTTCACAAGGCCAACTCGGTTAACCAAGCCATGGAGTCAGCTGTTTCACTCCATGACCCTGTTAAAATCCATGAAGCAATGCGTTACTCTCTTTTAGCCGGCGGCAAAAGGGTCCGTCCTGTGTTTTGTCTAGCCGCCTGTGACCTCGTTGGTGGCCAAGAATCCATGGCTATGCCGGCGGCTTGTGCTGTCGAAATGATACACACCATGTCTCTAATCCACGACGATCTTCCTTGCATGGACAACGACGATCTCCGTAGAGGCAAACCGACTAATCACAAGGTTTTCGGTGAAGATATAGCTGTATTAGCAGGGGATGCTCTTTTGGCATTCGCTTTTGAACATATAGCTGTTGCCACGGATGGTGTTACGCCTGGTAGACTCGTGAGAGCAATCGGGGAATTAGCTAAATCCATCGGAGCTGAAGGGTTGGTGGCTGGACAAATTGTGGATATCACCAGTGAGGGTCTAACCGATGTGGGATTGAATCATTTAGAGTTCATCCATGTTCACAAAACCGCTGCTTTGCTTGAAGCAGCCGTGGTATTAGGGGCAATTCTTGGAGGTGGATGTGATGAAGATGTGGAGAAGTTGAGGAAATTTGCAAGGAACATTGGGCTGTTGTTTCAAGTTGTGGATGACATTCTTGATGTAACGATGTCATCCAAAGAATTAGGGAAAACTGCAGGGAAAGATTTGGTTGCTGACAAGGTCACTTACCCTAAGTTGATGGGGATAGACAAATCAAGAGAGCTTGCAGAGAAGTTGAAGAATGATGCATTAGAGATGATTCAAGGATTTGATCCTGAGAAATCTGCACCCTTGATTGCTTTAGCTAATTATATAGCTTACAGGCAAAACTAGTTGCCTATTGTATTTCAGTATTTGACTAAAAAGGGCTTTTAGAGAAATAAGCAGGTCAGTGTACCTTTAATCTTGTGATTACACTGATTAGTCTCCTACAAGGATGATGAAAGATGAGAATTTCCTTGTACTGTTGTAAAACTCTCATCCAATTGTAGATTAAATTGCTCAACTTGTTCAGTTCTTAGAGTTTGTATCTCAACTTTGTATCCATTTTTGCTGTATCTTTGTATAACGATAACTGATGCCGAAACCGGAGAATCAAAACTCCGGTCACCGTGACTACATAGTCTCCTATCTCATGCATATCATCAGCAGCTGATGGTAGAAAAAAAATAATTGGTGTGGAGTTGGTTTAATTCCAACTAAAATATTAAAATGATTTATTTCCTTAGAAGTGGAAGGCAAGGCATGCCCCATTTATGCATAACTTTGTCTGAAAGTATCATAAATTTGAATATATTTCGTATTAATCATTTATATAAAGATAATATAATCTATAATGTCTAACTTTAAAAAAAGTACATAAGAGTATTAGAATAAAATACGTTTCAATATTTTTTCATTCATCATCTATAAAAGAACAAAAACAAATATTCGACATATACATTTAGAAAAATATTTTTACCAAAGTCAATTTTCAACATTAAACTGCGTTATTTCAAAGATCTCGAATGATTCTTTTATGAATTGGAATAAAATACCATCCTCAATCAACACAAACTACAATCTTGGAATCTTCTTTTCTTGCAAGATTCAACGACTCTCGACTACTCACCAACGCTCAATAAACTTATTCATACTATCCTTAATTACGTGTCCATCTTAAAATTTAATTTTTTTTCGGTTAATTATCTATTTTATTGATTGTGCAACCTTAAATTTTATTTGTAGTCATCACACTATATAAAATTTTTATATTATTAATGTATGTATATCCACCTTTAAAAAATTTCGAATTCTATCTTTACGTATCTAATATATATATTGATAATTAAAGAGAGAATTTAAACCCTAAATCATTGATATGTATAAGATGTATTATATTTATACATTCATCTTATTTTTATGTTATGTTTTAGTTTTTCTATTATGTGTTTTATGTCTTATTGAACTAGAATATTGATTATTACTACATGTAAACTTTCCTTAATTTTGCATATGAGATAAAAAATTAAAATTTAATATATATTTTTTGAATAGTATACATAATGATTATAAAATAATATTTGTTTAATTTTTTTTAGACATTGATAAGGTACACATACTGCAAACTCAATTATTCGAATAAGAGATATTTAGGAAGAATAACACTTCCTTTTACCATTTAGATCGCATGATGTGTTCATTTTAAAAAAAAATTGATCGTTAATGTATCAAATATTGATAATAAAGAGAGAAAAGGGTTTGTTTTTACCTACACTGAGAAGAAAACAAATTCTCTAGTAGGAAAAGGACTCCTAAAACGATTTAATTTCTTCTATCTATATGTATTTATATAAATGAAAAAACTTATTTTGAGGCTTGCATTAACGTTGAAGTACTTAGCGAAGAATAGTAATATCCAAACTATGGAGAGATTAAGCTGTTCATAGAGCTGCAAAGATGTGCGAAACCGTATCAAACTAAGCTGCGGATGCAGTAAAGAGAGGTATCTGATGAGGCAAAAATACCTGAGAAGCTACCTATTGATGACAACCAAGGAGAAAGATAAAGTAGGGGAGACTGCGGTCACGAAGGCGAATAAGTGGTTGAAGGAGATGAAGAGGAAATACAAGTGCTGTTCCCATGATCGGGATAACAAGCGGAAGACATGGCGGCGGCGGCCGCCGCCTTCCGTTGATGAGGTTAAGAAATCCTTTTCTTCATGTGTTGAAGCTTGTTTGAAGTTGTCCATTGTTTGCATGGCTAAAGTTGGTGTGGCTAAGATGGAAGATCATAAAACTATTGGTTTGGGGAATTAGATACTGTAATTTTCTATAGTAAAAAGAGGTGTAATCTTGATTTCTTACTTTATTTTTAATCTCCAAGATTTCTTAATTTTCTTACTCAGACATTTAAACAAGAATTTTGAAATTTCATTATATATATAATTAAACATTAAAAGAATTGAATTATTTAATTTAAAAAAAAATGAAAACTTATTAGTATTTAAACTCAAAAATATAAAATTTAATTTATATTTAGATTTATAAAAATTAAGATCACCATTAAACAAAACAAATTAGGGGGAATAAGAAGATAAAATGGCCCAAATATTGAGTTGCATGGGCCTCATTTCCCCCAAACTATTAGGGTTTGAAGCTGGTTGGTGTTGAGGTTGTGGAATTATGCGGTGAGTTGAAACATAAAATAGGCAAGTTTGGTACCTAAATGCCCCATATTAATCGTCTTACAGACTGCACGCAACAGCAGAAATCTTAACAAGCTTCTTTGAAATAATCATGGAAGAATCCAATAATGTGGCAATCATACATGCAATATTGCTCCGACATTTGGATAACCACGTTTGCATATGTCTATTTTCAGGTCTGATTTGTCTTTACCACGTTCTGGAATTTTAACATCGACATGATATAATCATAAAGTAGCTGTCCATGGATTATTGATGTTAATAGGATTTCATCCTGATGAAGAAGAAAGAAAATAAATTGTTGATCAACAAGGAAAAAGATTCAGATTTATCCCGTCTCTCTCTGGGGATGAACTTAAAGGCCAAGGTTTTTAGTACAAATGTTTTGTTGATAAAGAGTGTTTTTCCGCATCCTCCGATCACTCCCGTTATGAATTTCAAATTTTGTTTCCGACAAGGAAGCTCAAGGGACAACACAAGAAAGAGACGACAGGTACAGAGGATAAACACACATACAGTGAGAAAGTGAGAGGAATTGAAGGAAAAGAAAATGACGAAGAAGAGGGAATACAAGCAGCTTTCAATTTACCACTAACAAAGAAAATGATTTCTCTGAGCTTTCATTCTCTAATCTCTACAACTGTATCAAAGTCGTCCTATATAGGGGTGTTGAAATGGGAATAGCTACAGAAGATTTCGTCCCAACAATTCCAGTCCAAGCCAATAGCAATATGAACCCTACAAATTCCATGTCCCAAGATTTCCACCAAGCAGCTACTGGCATCTTCAGATTCTCGAATGGCTTCGAGAGATCAACCATGATCCGAAGAAATAAGCTAAGTGTTGGAGGCTTTGAGTCGCCACCTCCGCTTGAAGAGGAAGAATCAAACGCTCTTCCTGCATTTGAAACATCAGGTATGTTATCCGACATGTTCCATTTCCCTTCAGGTATGGCTCTCACCGCTTCCACCGAGTTATTAGATCAGACTCTACCGCCCAATTATCAAGCACACAGGCCAGCAGGTGAATCAAAGAGTGACTTCAACTATCAGCAGTTACCGAGCATTAATGCTGCCGCCTCAACAGCTGCCATGCAACTTTTCTTGATGAATCCAAGATCACAATCTTCATCAACTTCTCTTCAAGGTCCTGGAAGAATTGTTAATGTGCTTAGAAACTCAAAGTACGTTAAAGCTGCTCAAGAATTGTTGGAAGAATTCTGTAGTGTTGGAAGAGTCCAGTTGAAGAAGTACAAGTTTGGTCGAAACAAAACCAACCCTAGTTCTAATCATGGTGACACTACCTGTTCTTCATTGACAAAGCATCTCCGTCCTTTATCACCACCTGATAGAATTGAACATCAAAGAAGGAAGGTCAAACTTTTAGCCATGCTTGATGAGGTATGGAACCTCTTTATCTCTTTCTTCTCAACTTGTCTCTCCTTCAAGAGTAGTGAAAATTTTAAGCAAACATAAACCCCAGATAAAGCAAAGTCTGGGGCTCTATAGTGTCTAGTTGGTATCAATTAAAACTTCAGTATTTTGTCACATGATTGCTGGTGGAGAGAAGATACGAACTTTATTGTGAACATATAAAAATGGTGGTGGATTCATTGGATCTGGTGATGGGAAATGGTGCTGCAGTGCCTTACACTGCGCTAGCTCGGAAGGCAATGTCAAGGCATTTTAGGAGTTTGAAGGATTCGATATCAGCACAATCGAAGCGCAGCTCTGAGCTTCTTGGGGAGAAAGATGGAGCTACCGGAATCTCAGGCATAACCAAAGGTGAGACACCGAGGCTAAGGATGCTGGAGCAAAGCTTAAGACAACAAAGAGGGTTGCATCAAATGGGCGGTAGTATGATGGAACATGAACCTTGGAGACCTCAAAGGGGCCTGCCTGAACCATCTGTCAACATCTTGAGGGCCTGGCATTTCGAACATTTTTTCCACCCGTACGTCGCCTTTATCTCACACTAATATGTACTGTACATCGGCAGTTTCTAAAATACAAGCCGTCATACGAGAATGTTAGGTGAATTGTGATAAACCGTTCGTTTATATTAGTTTATTAAGTTAAAAAAATTAATGAATAAAATTTTTATATTCATTAATAAAAAATCGAACAATAATAGAAATATGTTTAGTTTGTTTAGGTTCATGAATCTGATATCATTTTAAGTTCTTTAATTTTTCTCAGGTACCCAAGCGATGCAGATAAGCATATGTTGGCTCGGCATACTGGCCTTTCGAGAGATCAGGTAGCTGATGAGTAGTTAGGGATGGGTAGCCGAAAATTTTACATCCTTCACCTGACTCGAAAAATATATACCCTCCACCCGACCCGATTTTTGGAGATAAAATCTGAACTTGATCCGACCCGAAATAATAATAAAGTATTATTTTTATTCAATAAAAATAATGATTTAATTGAAAAAAATAATATATAGAGGGATATCATTGTAATTAGTCCTAAATATATAAAGAAAAAAAATTCAAGTCGGGTCGGGTCCGGTATTTTTCACCTTAAACCCGACCCGACCCGACCCGAACATCACTTTTAAAAAAACCCGATCTGATCTAACCCAAACCCGATTTTAAAAAAAAACCCAACCCCAACAAGATAATGCGTTGAATTTTTTTTTTCACGAGATAGTGCCCTCGCCAGATTAATTGCTCAGATAGTGCCCTCTACAGTCCCGGGGGTAGGTCGCCATGCACGCCTAGTGACCTAGGCAGGTCACCAAAAGTCACCATGCAGTCCATGCTTGGCTTGAACAATGTTGGTGGTTTAGACATGGCCCTTTCCT